TTTCCCTAAGCCGCCTCCTTGGATGCGTTGGATCCGCAACACGCGGATTCCGGAGCGGGGCGAGGGGGCTGCATCCCGCCTCCTGCGCACGAGGAATGTGGGGAATGCGGGGCCTGCGGGAGCGGAATTTTCCTCGGGATGACCCGTCGGATCCCCGCGCGTCCGGCAGCAACTGCAGAAGGAGCCGGAGAAATTGGGGGGGATTCGCGCCGGCTCCGGGCTTGCTGAGCCTTGCGCAAAGCCAAACATCCCAACGGGAATATCCAATATCTATCCCTCCCTTTGGTCACTGGTTCCAAACGGAGGTGGCAGGGAACAACCTCCTCCGTTTTGGAATGGGCAGCCCCTAATTGCGAGGGAAACAGAAGCTCCTCCGCGGATCTTCGTTAACGCAGCTGGAGACATCCTCATTAATCCACTGCCTCTATCACCGCCGACCCGACCGCATCCTGCCTTCGTTTTCCCTTTCCATGTATTTTTATCTGGCATTTTCATGATGCCGCAGCCTTCTGGACGCCTGAAACTGTAACCGAATTGCCACAAATAATTAAAATGTGAAAAAAAAAGGAAAAACAGGAGGCGACGCTCGCAGAGCTGAAGGGAGAATAGGGAGAGCTGCAGCCCACAGAAGCCAAAAATAAAACACAAAAATCTGTGATCCTCAAGTACGTTACATAAAAAAGGTTTCCAGTTCAAGCACCAGCGTTTAAGGGAGGGAGTTTATCAAGAGACAGAGACTTTGGCACCAAAAAAAAGGATTTCTGCTGCAAAATGAGTATCCCATTTCAGGGAAGAGGCTTAACCACAGGTTGTCCAGGACATTTCACAAGGCCAAGCCTAAGAACACGCAGCCAGAATTTAAAAATTCAGCGGGTTTTGGTTCCGCTGCTGACGTATTATCTCCACGTTAGCAAATGTTACTGTGTTTACGTGGAAGAAAAACAGCCCCAAGCCCAACTAAAACCATTTAAGAGACTTAAGATGGGTGGATGTGACCTGAAGAAGCCAGAAAGGCTCCAGCTAAAGTGAAAACACAGCCAGGACAGGGCTGCTCTGGGCTGGTACCACACGGGGCTATTCTGGATGCTTCTTTGCTCCGAATTCTTCCTTCTCCTGCCATTCCCATCCGGCTGCAACGTCCTGCCGATTCCCTGCACTAAGTCAGGGCCCCGCGGAGGCTCCACTAACCTGCAAGCAGCAAATGGGAATGGGAATGAAATGGGAAGAGCAGCAAATGCAAAAGGGCACCAAACTCCCCGGGATGGTGGGTTCTCCCTTTCTCCGTCCCCCTTTTCCGCTCTCGCTCGGGAGCTGCCCGGATTGGAGCTGCCTCCTCAACGGAGATGGGAATTCCTCCCCTCTGCAACCCACAAAACACTTCATTCATCCCATGCATCCGAGGATTTTATGACTCTAGTTTTCGTTAATATTTAAGGCAGAATCGACTTAAAGGTGCCAGGGAGATTTTAAGAGGCACCGAGAGCTGCTGCCATCGATTATTTGCAAAAATAACAAACCTGTGTTCACAATTAACACTCCTGGCATTTGCTAATTTGTTCCAAAAGGGAATCCCTGCCAATTTAACCAGGTTTTCGCTCGTGCTGGATTAGCACCATATACTGAATAGGGAAAACTTGTCAATCTGGGCTCTGAAAAGAAAGCTCCAGGTTCCCAAAATGCTTCTTGCCAGGTAAATAACCCCAAATTTGATACTCAGAAGACACTTAACACAAAGTGGAAAGGTGGTACCGGAGGGAAATGCCCTTTTCCATGCAAATAGATGTGGAAAAGCGGCTCAGAGCTCCCGTTTCTGACAGCGCAGGCAAGAGCGGCCGCCGGCACCGGCTCCTGCTTTGGCTCCTGCCGGCCTCGGGAATGTGCAGAGCCGTAAAGCGGATCTGGGAGCGGAGCCCCGCGTGTCCGTGCCGCTCCGGAGGGCGTTCGGGAGCGTCTGGACGGCCGCGGTGCCACCCTGATGCTTTTTGCCCCGTTTTGATGATACAAAACAGGGAGGAGGAGCAGATACACCAGAGGGACCTGGACAACTGGGCGGGGAAAAACCTCATGGAATTCAACAAGGCCAAGTGCAGGGTCCTGCATCTGGGGAGGAATAACCCCAGACACCAGGACAGGCTGGGGACCGACCTTGTGGAGAGCAGCTCTGCAGAGAAAGACCTGGGTGTCATGGTGGGTGACAAGGTGACCATGGGGCA